AGGTGAATGGGTTGGCTTTTGTTGAATGTGGTTGAAGTTTCTTCTCCAAAGTCATGTAGGTAAAGAAATGTTAAAGAAGCCAAGCCTGGTAGCCCACACCTGTAATCTTTGCTACATTTGAGACTATCCTGGGCAGAAAGTTGGGGATACCCATTTCAGCAATACGTGCACCTGTCATTGCATGCTACATGGGAGGCTGAATTAGGGAGGATCAACAGCTTGAGGATAGCCCAGGCAAAAAAAAAAAAAAAAAAAAAATTGAGACTCTATGTCAGTGGAAAAAAGCTGAGCATGGTGGCCTGGGCCTGTCATCCCAGCCTAGGCAGGATACATAAAATAGGAGGATCACAGTCCAGGCCTGCCTGGGCAAAAAATGAGACTCTATCTCCAAAATAACTAGAGCAAAAAGGGCTGGAGGCATGGTTCAAGCAGTAGAGCACCTGTCTCACAAGCATGCAGCCCTGAGTTCAAACCCCAGAACCACCAAAGAAAAGATTAAAGAAAAAATTATTCAGTGATACTTGTTAAATATGGGAAGGAAGACTTCATTCAGGACCGTCATCACAATGGGTATTGGATCATGTCAACAGGGGATGGAGATTATACCATCATGATAGGTATGGGACAATGTCAACAGGTTCTTACAGTAGGGGGTAAAGATTAGGCTCAGCTCTGAATACAGCATGCGCAAGTAGACTGTATAGCCAAAGAGCGGGAAATTACCAAGAGAAAACATAAGGTAAAAAGGGGATTCTGGCTAAACTGACCTAACAGGATTTTTGCTAAAGGCAGGCCAGGGTGGTAAAACATCTCCTGAAGAGGTGGGGAGAGGTAGAGACTGATGAAATATCAAGGGTGATCAGATATTGAAAGTAGGGGGTGGTTCTGGCTGAACTGACTTAGCAGGGTTCTTTTGCTAAAACTAGATTTCACAAGGAAGTGAACAGATAACCTTGAAGAAGATTTAGGGGTCTAAGCAAAGTTTGAACAGGCAGAGACTCTTGTCAGTAAAGCACAGATTCCAGCCCAGGCTTCACATTAGTCTTCTGCGGGAACTTTTCAGAAATAAGGAAGCCCAGGCCTGAGTCTGTTGAATCACCAACTTAAGTAGTAGGGCTAAGAAGCTCTTTTTGTCTTGTAAGCTTCCCAAATGATAGGAATGTCCAGCCAAGAGTTGGGGTAGGAGCAAAGGCAATTGAGTGTTCTGAAACAAAGTGAAAATAGCCAGATTAACAGGGGAAAAGACATACAAGCTTACTACATACAAGGGGGAATCACAGGAAGTGAGCACCCAACAACCCATAGATGGTGAAGCTCATATACACTACCCTTCTTACTGGACCCAAGTCCATCTGCTCACCACTTGAAAGCCAAGACTCAGGCAGTTAGAGTTAGTAGAAGGGACATCAGCTTTGAATAAAGCTACACAGAGAAGCATAAATAGGATTGAGGACCAGGCTAGCCTGGGCATAAAGCGAACACCTATCTCAGAAATAACCAATATAAAAAGGATTGGCAGCATAGCTCAAGTGGTAGAGCACCTTCCTAGTAAGTATGAGATTCTGAGTTCAACTCCAAGTACTACCAAAAAAAGAAAGAATGAACTTTCACCTTTTTACTCTGTGGTCTCTTGGCATATCCAAATTGCTAGCCTTACTTTTCTTGCACTTTGAGGCCAGTATTACGTAAAATAAGAGATATTGGAACACAAGTACTGCTATTCTATAACAGTTAATCTATAACCTAGATGTTTATGGTATTATTAATGGGCCATGAAACACAGCAGGACAAAGGGGTGATTCAGGGCCTGTGCTGAACAGAGTGAGCTATGAGATTTCCTTAGGTATTCAACATGCAATTTAATTTTTAGAGGTGGTACTGGGAATTGAACTTAGCATGCTTGGCAAGTGCTCTATCATTGAGCCACGTCCCCAGCCTATGGCATGCAATATAAAACTTTAAACTGTTTATTTTTTAAATTTTCAGACCACCACAAGTAACCAAAACCATGGGAAGCAAAACTGCAGATAAGGGGTATGGAGGCTACTGTAAATGATTTTTAGGGGAGATGACTGGACCCAAAGAACAGGCAATAGCCTGTGGCAAAATTCACCTTAGCCCTGAGTCACTGTAGTCTTCTGTCCTTCAGTTAATCTTCCTTGTTCAAAGCATTTGGCCGGTCAGATGTTGAGACCTTTGCCTTCCTTCTAAAGGAACTTTTCTGGTCAGTTAAGGCAACTTCAGCAAAAGTCTCTCTCTGCCCTTCAGGAGAGAGAGGATAGAGATGGAGGTGGGAGAATCAGAGAGACCTCGAGGCTGCTCCCTTAGTTGAAAGTACTCAGCATGCCAAGCATTAGAAAGAAACTCTTGATTTAAGTCTCAAGAGCACTTGTTTCGCAGACACTAAATACAGTGGTTGGTAGGTATTCACAGAATAAACCAGTTTCTTTAATTTGATTATGTATGGCTTTCGTCATCAGTTAGGTGCTTAAGAAATCAGTAGAATGGTCCTGCAATGTCATGCTGAGCTCACTATCTAAAATCTACTGCCAGTCTTTCCCAGGCAAGCCTGCTTAGAAGTCCCAAAGCATGCATGATGCAGGCAATTACACATACGTTTAAAAGTCTTTAACATTTTCATTAAACTTTTCTAATATCAGGACCTAATATAATTGGCATTCATATATATACAACCCACTTTTGCTACAGATTTATTGTTAAAGAAGTAATACAATACTGACACTCCACACTTCCACCCTATCCTCAGATGTAATCCCAGCGCTGGAGCTGATACATATGCTTCCAGTTCACATCTTTAAACTTTTACCACAGCTGCGTACACCCGTGAAAGTATATGCTATCATTTGGCATGTTTTAAAAGTGTACATAAATTCTGTCATCATGAACAAATCCCCAAATTGCTTTTTTTACTTAATAGTCTCAAGATGTATTTATGTTGAAACATGGATAACAGTTTACTTTAACTGCTGTGAAATACTGTATTGAATCAGTGTACCACAATTTATGCATTCCTTTATTATAGATAATTAGATTTTTAATTTTTTACCTTTACAAACTTCACTACATCCTTTGCATGCATCTACTTGTGCATATGTACTAAAGTAGAATTGTTGGGCCTTACTATAAATCCAGCATCTTAGTCAGTTTTGTGCTGTTAGAACAGAGTACCATAGACTGGGTAATTTATGAAGAACAGGCACTTCTCTCACAGTTCTGGAGGATGGGATGTCCAAAACCAGGGTACCAGAGGGTTCAGTTGTCTGGCAGCAGCTTTCTTGCTGAGAACCACTATATTCTCCCCTGGCAGAATGCAGAAGAGCAAGTCAGCTGGACACTGTGGAGCATCTTTTATGTGGGCTTTGACTCTGTTCATGAGGGAAGAGCCCTCATGGCCTCTGAAAGGCCCCATTTTTTTTTTTTTTTTTTTTTGGCAGCACTGGGGTTTGAACTTATGGCCTCACACTTACCCAATAGGCACTGTCTTACTGCTTGAACCATTCTGCTACCCCTTCTTTGTGATGGGGTTTTTTCAGGATAGGGTCTCATGAACTGTTTGCCCAGGGGTGGCCTCAGACCATGGTCCTCCTGATCTCTACCTCCTAAGTAGCTAGGCTTACAGGCCTGGTCCTTCCTAACACTATCACATTAACCATTAAGTTTAAACACCTGAATTTTGGAGGCTGCCTACTCGATCTGTAGCATATAGTCTTTATTTTTACTGTCATTAAATCATCCTATATAATTGTACCAGATACACATAGAGTATCTCCTCCCTCTCCCCTGACCTTCCCTAACCCTTAAGTGTCAAGTGGTGGTTGAGGGGAGGGGGGACTACAGAAAGAGAGTTAGAAAGATTAGAGCTGACAGAGTGGAAGGCAAACAGGGCAGCATCACAGGAGGAACCCATGCTTTAGTGGACTAAATTTGTCGAGAAAGCCTGAAATCTGTAAGCCAGAGCCTGAAGAGCATGAGGTGTCAGGTGACCTGACTGTGGGAGACCCTGCTAAGTGATGGAATGGGGAATCTTGGGATGAGCTGAAGAGCGAACCAGCAAGTATTGCCATACTTTGGGCAACATTTGGCTATGGAGGGCAGGAGAGGTATCTACAGGTGGGAGCAAGGTGAGCTTGGTAAGAATTAGAGCTGGTTTTCATGGTGAGAGAAGTATGAGAGAGAAATGGAAAAGAGGTGGGAGGGAAAAGGGGTGGCTGAGGGTCCTGAGACTGAGAAGGGTGAACCCAGGGAAGAGATGGAGAGTTGGTCTTTCTTAAGAAGAGGGGTAATGTGCTGTGAGAGGAGGGGTAAGGGAAAACATGGGTACAGATGCGAAATGATTTATGGGTTTGGTGGTGAGCAGTTTACTTGGTTTCTGTTATGGACATTTATTCTCTCTAATAGAAGAAAGGTTATAAACTGGCAGTGAGAGGCAGAGCTTTGAGGCAAGGGGGTTTGAACTAGTTGTTCAGAGCACAGGAAAGGAACTGAGGGAACAAAAGTGCAATCTTGAACACTAAGTTCAGGGTGGTAGTTATGAATTTATGGTTGTTTAAGACTCCCTTCTGGATATTCTGTGACACAGGTCACAGCAATCATTAAACAGTGGTTACAGAGATGCTAACACTTGAGCTGAGTGAAATGAACAAAAATTCTGTGTTACTTTTGCAACTCTTCTGTAAGGCTAACATCTCAACATAAAAAAGTTTTTTAAAAATGACAAAGAAATAGAGGTAAGAATATTTGAGGTGTTGGAAAGTAAATCTTTGCAAAGATCAACCATCAGCAGGATAATGAGGATAGTGAAAGAAGAGACTGTCAAAGAAAAAGAAATTAGTTGTGTTTGAGGGCCTGGAGATCTGATGACATTCTAGAAGTTTAGTGCCATTATTTAGCAGGGAAACTGGAGGGACAGGAAGCTGCGGTTTGAGATAGAGACTTCAGGAGGGAGCAGCAGTACTGAGAGATGACTTGGAGCAAATGGCCAATAATATTGGGTGTTGGTGGAGAAAGTAACTGCTGTGAGAAGAGTTCACAGCTGGAGTGTTCACTTGAGTTAGCATCATGGACTCTGAATTCGCCTAAGTTCTGGTAGGTGTTGGGGTGGAGAGTGAACCAGCTTCCGTAAATTAGGGAAATTGTCCAAGAGGGCAGAAGAACCAGGGTGAAGAGTGGGATAGGGTCCCATTGATAACTGAGGCTCAGGCCTCAAAGGAAATGGTCTCCTTTCTTACTCCTTCCCCTCCTCTCCTCCTCTCACTGAAAACCCTTCCTCCTCACCCCTAGAAAGGGAGATTGTGAGAGAAGAAACCGTTTCTACTTGAGAGAGCTTCAGAGGCAGTGTGTACTCAAGGGAGGGAAGTTGCTCTGGATTTAGGAAAGGGAAAGAAGTGTTCTCAGAAGCCAACAAGGATGCAGCCTTCTGTCATGGTTGGTGATGACTTGATGTGCACAGATAATACACACAGGTGCACTTTTGGATCTGTCTCAGAGAGGAAGAAGCCAGGAGGGCACATCGAATGGAGAACCAATGACTGTAGGCATTTAGAGTGGAGTGCTGTTGTATTAAAGCATTTCCTTGTCAAAGTCTGACTGAGTCTTCCCTTGCAGCTCAGCATGGTTTCTCTGAGAGGTCTTTCTTTGCCTTCATGTGTTGTGAATGCTTTTAGATTTGAAGCACTCTAAGAATACTTGGGACAGTACTTCATTATGCTGGAACATAGTGGAAAAGGAGTGATAACTAGCACACAGTTATATAAGTTTAAGAGAGATTTACCAGAACATTCCACAGTCAGGGGTTCTTAACTTTTGGGAGCTATGAGTGAAGGGTATACATTCATTAATAAAGTTTATAGACCTTTTTCAAAATGTTTAAAAATGCATAAAAGAAGACATAGAGGAATATAAAAAAATTGACTACAATGAAACAATTGGAAAAATATTTTTGAATTTGATTTGCTATACTTCTTGAATAAGAGCTGGCAGCAGTCCTAATAGCTGCTATAATATTTAGTTAACAGCACAACAATGAGCACAAACAATATTTCAAGATATTGTTACCAACTCATTGTAATGTGAAAATAGCTGTATTTCTTTGGTGGCAGAGTCACAGATATTGCTACTACTACTGTATCTTCTTGTCCACATTCATAGCAGAAAGAAGGCTATATTTTGGCTATAGGTTAATGAAGTAAATATGTATTTCCCATCTCCATCCAAGTTCATGGACATTCTTATTCTGTCCACAGTGCAACAGAACTCTGGTCAGTTGAGTAGGAAACAGATCAGATTCAAACTCCCAAAAGTATTCGGCAAGGCATAAATAACCATTATTTCATTCAAGCAACAATTGCTGCTCTGTACAAAAAAATGCAATGATGTGGTGCAGTTGGTTACAACTGTGGAAAATCATTTTGATGGTGTGGACAGCAGAGCTGCAACAGCTGCGGTCAACACTGAAGGCAGGGGACATTAGAAAATCAACTTTGAAATCCCAGCCACACAGTTAAAGGCAAAGAAAAGACACCTTTCCTTTATTAAAGACTGTCGTATTAAAGAGAAATTTTTTTTCTGCCAGAAAGAGTAGGTAGTATCTCTCAATGCTTTGGCCAAAAATGGACTCCATTCATTTAACATATGGTCACTGTATTTTATGATAAGCAGCTTCAGTAATCACAGCCTATAGAAGTACATTTGCCCCTGTTACCTTGTCTGTGAATCTAAAATTATTGCTGTGTGTTAAACTGTCATGTACTTTATCAGTAGCAGTATTGAGACTAAACAGCTCACAATTGTATCAGCAGGAAAAATAGGTATTATGGTTAAGGTCTACTGGCTTCTTAAGTTTCTCAATGGTGGGCCTTCTTTGTACTTAGGTACAAAGGTGATATATTGACTAAAAGGCAGAAAGGATCTGTAGTGTGTTTAGAGAAGTAAATAATCCCCCCTAAAAATAAGAAATGTGGGTAATATATTACAAATTTAAAATGAATATGCAAATTTCATAAACATTTCATGGAGATTAGTTGGCTCATTCTTTCATTCATTGGAATGTACATTGAGGATACCAAGACTACACCACTGAAACTGAGCAAAATTGCTCCCGTATGTATTTTTCTTTCTTCTCCAGTCTGTGGCTACCTCTTTTCTTCCTTCGGCTACTTGCAGCCTTCCTCCCCATCTTAAGCCCTTTTGTTCTACTCCTTTACCCTTCTTCTCACTTCTTCCTGATTGTTTATTTAGAACGGCTCATTGCTAGATAAAGAAGATATCATACAATAGTTAACAAATTTGTATTTGTGTTCCAAAGACAGCATATTTTAAGATGTAAGCTCCCTTATTTTGGTGATACGAAATATAAGGCTGGTTTATGAAATTATTTCTGAGGAAACTCATGTTCAAATATCTACTCAATCCTGCTCTTTCCTAAAGCTAAGAAGAAACTTCCCAAGTTGCCTGTCTTCTTGGAAAATTCCTCCAAGTGTCCTAAAATCTACCCAGCCAGAAGCTGTACTCAGTGAGCTGCCCTTTGCACCACTGCAAATGTTTACAGACGAGGAGATGATGATAAAGACAGCAGGTCAGTGAATTTCTCACCTCTCCCTGTTACTCCTCTGGTCATGAGTTGGGTCTGTGAAATGACATGACAGACTAGAAGATACACGCGTCTTATTTTGTGAATGAGGTTTTTGTTTCTGCTGTTGTTTGATTTGGTTTGGTTTTTGTTTGGGGGATTTTTTGAGACAGATTTCTCAGTGTATTGGTCTGGGCTCAAGTGATGGTCCTGCCTGGCCTCCAGAATAGCTGGGATTGCAGGCTCATGGATAGAGTTCGTGGTGTATTTTTAAACAAATTTAAAACAATAGCAACAGCATTGAAGGCTATCTGGTTGAAAGTTAAGTCTCTTTTTCTTCTGTACCCTAGTTCCCCAGTTTTTGCCAGAAGTTGCCTACCCAGTGTCTTATGTAGCCTTGGAGTGGGGGTGTGCTACTGACAGCTAGTTGTGTAGAGGCCAGAGATGCTGCTAAACGTTCTGCAGGACACAGGGCAGCCCCACAGGGACTTTCCTGCCCACATGTCCCCAGGGCTGAGGTGGAGAGGCCTTGTTCTGCATGACCATGTAGCTATTAAAAAAAAAAAAAAAAAAAGCCATGTTAGATAGAATGTACTAGCATAGAAAGATTATCAATATATAAGTGGGGAGGCCAGACACAGTGACTCGTGCCTGTAATCCCAGCTCTGGAAGAGGCAGAGATTGAGGGAATCACGGTTCAAGGCCAGCCATGACAAAAGGTTAATGAGTCCCCCCATCTCAACAATATAAGCCAGGCATGGTAGAGTATTTCTGTAATCCTAGCTGGATGGGAGGCATAGGTAGGAGGATCGTGGTACAAAGCTAGCCCAGGCAAACATGGGAAACCTTATCTGAAAAATAACTAAAGCAAAGAAGGGCTTGGGAGCACCTGCCGAGAAAGTGTGAGGCCCTGAGTTCAAACCCTAATACAGCAAAAAGAACAGATACAAGTAAGGAGAAGATGTGTATGTGTTATGATTCCTTTGTGTAACAGATTGATAAATTGAAAGGCAGATAATGTGTGTATCTCCATAGATAGGTAGAGATGGCTTTCTAAGAAAAGTTCTCAGGAAGAATAAGCAATAAACTTATAGTTAGTTGCCTTTGGAAAGAAGGACTGGAGAGCCAGGGTAGGGAATAGAGCCTCCATTTTTTAATCTGTGCTTTCTGCAGTGTTTACACTCCTGCATCATGTTCACCTGTCTTCTAATGTTCTCAAGGGCAACTAAGAGGGGTTTGAATAACTTGTTTTTTCTATATTTAAAAATCTCGTAAGTTCCAGTTTGAAAGAGTAAGTGCACCTATTTGGGTTTTTTATTTTTGACATATTAGTTAAAAAATAAAAATTTGTCATTAGATTATTAACTGTTATAATCTTTATTAAAATGACTGTCACTTGAACATGGGCTTATCAGGAATTCTTTTTCTTACAGTTAAAAAATTTGCACAGGAACAAATTGCTCCTTTGGTTTCAACCATGGATGAAAACTCAAGACTGGAAAAGTCAATAATACAAGGATTATTTCAACAAGGGGTATATGTTTCACAATTCTTACAATTTCTAGTATATATATAATAAGTATATGTAATGCATATAATATATTTATATATAGTATGTAATATATTCATATTTTTAAATTTAGGGAACTGTAATGAGCATAATGAATTCTTCATTTCCCAGGCAAAAATACCTGATCTCTTTTCTGAGGTCCTGGTTAATGTTTATTTACATAAAGAGGTGTAATTGAGTTAGCATTTAAATTGGAAATATTGTGCTTTTTAAGGAATAGGTTGCAAGTGAGACAGTGATTTTTTTAGACCAGTGGGTAGGGGAGATTATCAGTATGGAGCTCCAAGGAGAACATTTGAAAAATCTCTGTAACTTCTACTGGTGTTCTCCCTTCTTGCATAGGTGAACACTAAGGATTTCTTAGAACTAGTCACAGCTATTCAATGATCATCTCATCTGTCATTATGTTTAGAAAATAACCTTTGCCACTTAGCCATGTAGTTTCATTTCTTGTTTTAAGGTGACTAGCTTTGGTAATTTTCCCAACTTTCCTTTGGCAGTGAAACTCTTGGGAAAATGGAACCTCATGCAGAGCACACAGGGCCAAGTAGAAGCCCAGTGTGTAAAGACAGTAGACTCCCTGGTTCATTTCCCAGCCAGGTTTAGCTGTCATTGTTGGCAGACCCTCCCCCTGCCCCAGGCTTCTGTGAGGAATCCCACGGTCTCACAGCTTGGAAACCACTTTCCTGAGGTGGTAGTTCTTACGCACAGGGCTCTGTACACTCGCTACTCATCTCTTTAAACTGTTCTTGCTTAACATCGTCCCGTTGTCTGCCTCCTCACTCTTATCGTCCCAACTATTTGGTCACCTGCCACATATGTCTAATTGAGAAGGAATGAATGACTTTTATGGAGAAGCAGTATTGCTGACAACTTCTCAGATACTATAATCAGGTGGTTGTCATGCCCTTCAGTCTTCAGGCCTACCCATGTCCTCAGGTCTTCCTCAGAACATCACTTCTGGCTCTGTCACATTGCAGTCTTCCCCCTTCATGGTTCTACCTTTCTGTTAGCTAAGTCTTCAGCCTGAAATGTATAGCCACAATCCCAGCTGCAGCTTGGGCCAGGTCCAGGAGATGGTGTGGGTCTTGAATCACAAGTACACATGCTCCCTTTGTAAACTGAGGACACTTCAAACTGAAGTAGTACAGAGAACATTTTGTGTCCAGATGTAGGAGTTAATGGAAAGCCTTGGCCAACATTTGGCTGTTACCAGGCACCTCTGGCTTATCAAGTGCATCTCAAGAAAACACCATGACATGTTGTCTGGTAACCATCCTGGACTTGCTAAAATGACCAGAAGGAATGATCTTTTAGTCATTGTCTCAGCTGAAAGAGTCAAGGGTGAAGGAGCCTGCGTAGAATAGACTATGCCAAATAAAACTGCAGACGTTCCCCTGGAGGGCTACTTACTTTTTGCATTACTTACTACATTCAAGTCAGTTTATAGGGGGCTGTGTTAAAAGACCAAAACGCCACCTATGGTTCTTAGCGTGAAACACCACAAGAGTATATTTAGAAGGTATTTTCTCAATCCATTCAGTTATTTTTCAAGGCATTTTATCTCTTTGGACTTTTTGAGGTCCAAAATGAAACAAATGCCAGTTCTAGCTTGTAATTTTACCCTCTTCAAAAATACCTTATTTCCGTTATAGATTATTTTGTAATTTATAGCAAAATAACCATTCCAAATTAAAATAAAACATGAAAGTTTAATGCTAAGAAAATATTATGGTTCCAATTTATTTTCAACCTTGTTCTTGCAAGCACTTTCCCAGTATTAAGATATCTACCTTCACCTGCTTCTTTGTTTTTCCTGTAGCTGATGGGCATTGAAACTGACACAAAGTATGGAGGAACAGGAGCTTCATTTGTTTCTTCTGTCATAGTGATAGAGGAACTAGCCAAAGTCGATCCATCCGTGTCTCTCATGTGTGACATCCAGAACACAATAGTTAACAAGCTGATTAAAAAACATGGAACAGAAGAACAAAAGGCCACCTATTTGCCTAAGCTGATTTCAGAAACAGTGAGTTGAGACAAGTTATTGAAATGAACCTGATCTTTTCTAAGTTTATAATATTTTCAGAGGCATAGTAACTGCAATGTTGACTTTTATTATCCATGACCACAGTGCAGCACAATCAGTTAATCAAGCAGTGCTCAATAAATTAATAATGCTAGAAAAATACACTCTGCCTCTTCTTTGCCACTTGGAAATTTAGGAAAATATTATTAGACAATTACTTCTCTTTTCTTTCCAGTCGTGGTTGTGCATGCCTAGAATCCCAACATTCTGGAGCCTGAGATAGAAGGATCACTAGTTCAAGGCCAGCCTAAAGCTGTCCCAAGAAAAAAATAGAAATTTGAAAGAAATTTCATTTTTGTCCCAATTCCATTTTCTAATACCTTTGTTGATAATTCCATTTACATTGAGGTGACTTTCTACTATAATTTAAACATACTTAAGCATATATTCTAGCTTAAATCAAAATTATACACATTTTAATAAGCATATATTCTTAAATTCTTAAATTTGTCTCACTTAGTAGGTGGATTGGAGAGAATAATACTGTCAGAATACTATTTTGATATAAACTTTTAAAAAATAGCTACCAGTTTGATTTACAAATGTCCATTTTGCCATTAGTATTTGTTATACAGAACATAATACAATTGTTAATTTGGGGTTTTTTCCTCACATGGGTAGGTTGGAAGCTTCTGCCTTTCAGAGGCTGGAGCAGGTAGTGACGCCTTTGCTTTGAAGACCAGAGCTGATAAAAGTGGAAATTACTATGTCATCAATGGGTCAAAGATGTGGATTAGCAGCGCTGAATATGCAGGACTCTTCGTGGTTTTTGCAAATGTCAACCCTGCCATTGTAAGTTTAAAACAAATTGTCCTCCCTTTCCCCCGGCCCTCATCTTTTCTCCTTTTCTTCCTTCATGTCTTTTTTTGGACTTTGTTTTAAATTCTTACTCTCCTCAGTACTGAAAATGTGAGACTTGACCCATCATCTTTTCACCCTCTGATTTATTAATCTCCTAAACTAAATGCTGTGGACACAATTACTGGTTACATGGAGGACCATGTATTAGTTATCTAATATGTTACATGTGAAGCTAATCTTTACTTTTGTTGAATTTCATGTTTTTTATGTAATAATGAAGAATTTAAGCTCCTGTGTACTACATTTACTTTTAAGAGTATTTTATTCAGTTGGAAAATAAACATAGCAAAAATATATTTTTTCTTTTTACTAATATACCATGTAATTGAATTAATTTGTTAAAATCCAAAGAACTTAATAATATTAAATTTAAAACGTGGGGTTTCATGTTCATATTACCTTATTATAATAATTTTAATATCCACTGTGGTTTCTGAAAAGGTAAAAAAAATGGTAAAGTTCTTGATTTAATAGCTAATGTCCTCCAATCATTCCTGTCCATTCTTTTAGTTTTCATTTTACTTTGAACTCTTTGTACAGTAGGTATTTAAGAAATCCAAGTGATAATAGCATTTTCAATCTTTCTAGGGACATAAAGGAATAACCTGCTTCTTAGTAGAACGTGACACAGAAGGGCTTCACATAGGAAAAGCAGAAAAGAAGTTGGGGATCAGAGCTTCTTCCACCTGCCCCTTAACGTTTGAAAATGTCATGGTAGGTATTTGAGAATTATCAGTGCAGGACTGGCACCACAGGAGATGTGCCAGAGAGGTGTCGCAATAGTAAGCGTTTAGCTTGCACTGGAGAGTCTTCCGTGGAACTCAACAATGCGGTAAGTGAAGTCATGACGAACGGTATTTCTCACAACTTAGGCCAGAGCAGAAACCTTTCTGCCCACCCAGCCTCTGGCCTTGGGAGCATAGGCTGAGAATTAATCTGTTTTTTTGCGGGGAGGGGGACTCATATACTGCTGAACCATTTATACTTTATAAACGTGGTACTTTTTAGACAGGTACTTTACCACTTGAGTCATGTGTGTAGCCCTAGTTTGGTACTGAAACAGCCTCAGAGAAGGGAGACTGGTGTCAGTACACCGAAGGCCACAAGATGGGGATGTTTCTCAGTGATAGTGGAAGCAACCAGGCAGCACCCCACAAAACAAGCTTTTCAGAACGCTGAGGCTCTAGAGCTTCATGGGGGCAAGACAGGTTGTCACAGGTTTTCCACCATTCCTGTGAGAGCTGGATCTTTGTGGCATGTGTGTTGAGGGGGGAAGGAGATGATGTCTTTACAGATAACCATTTGGGCTGCAACTTCCCCCCAACTTACCTCCTTCTTCCTTCACTACCTTTTCTCTCCCCATTCTGTTCTGTTCCCTCTCCTAGTTGACCGTATTATAAAAGCTGTGTTTTTTTATTGTTCCTAATATTAGTTTTATGTGTTACTTTTTTCTTCTTCCTCCAGCGTCCTCCTTCTCTCTCAGACACATGCACAAGTATGTACACTCCTCGTCCACACACACACTGCCCCTCAGTTGACTGTTGTTTCTTCTGTCTCAACAGAAGACAGGTTTTGTACTCTTGTGTTTGCAAATTATCTCATATTTTTTGTAGTTCCTAGTATGTTATCTCACACTGTTAGCATATAGGTAAGAACTGGAGGAATATTGTTAGTCATTTATTTTATTGACAAATGCATGAGATTCCCTTTTTCTAGATTCATTCATTCATTGAACAGATTATGCTAGGCTTTGGAGGATTCAAGAGTGAACAGCATAGGCTTTGGAACACAGCGTAGAGGGAGACACAGATAGCAGCAGACAATCTCATTGGACTTTAATAAGTACTGTGATTGAGTAATATCATACAAGTTAGTATATGTGCATTTAAATATATCTTTACATATTTTATATGTAATCAAAGTTAATTGTCAAATTAAATTGAGAAATGAGTGCAGATTTGTTATCTTTAGGTTCCAGAAGCCAATATCTTGGGACAAATTGGACATGGCTATAAGTACGCAATAGGAATTCTTAATGAAGGTAGAATAGGAATCGCTGCTCAGGTAAGTCAAATTTTAGCTCTTCCCATAATATGAGCCAATTACAATATAAAAAGAAAGAAATGCAGTAAGACCAATGAGTATCTGGAAACTTGTGAACACAAGATGGCACCCTTCCCTTGCATGAGGAGAAAGAATAGGTTTAGGTTATTTCTTTCAGCTTTCACTTTGATCAGTTATGTAAGTATCCAGAGAACCAAACGATGGCTTAGTGATAAGTTTTTCTGTTTTGAAAATATTAAAGTATTTTTGAGTACCTGAACCAATAACCTCTAAAATATATTATAAATTAAGTATGGCGTTTTTCAGTCAACTTTTTAAAATAGGAAATTCATTCCTTCAGAATGTTTTTAAATTAAGAATAAATATTCTACTGTGTAAGGATTTCTTAAATACATAAAAGATTCATTGCTTAGTATTTTGCATGTGAAAGTTGAATAATTTTTGTGACACATGAAATAAAATAGCCATAATTAAATATACAAGATGAGAACTATTTAATTGTTTACAGATTTGCTTTTTATAATGCATAGTATATTTTTGTACTAAATGATATTGCTTATTTTCTAGATTTACAAAATGAATAAGGTCTTTGGTTCTATTATAAATTATGTCATTTTCTAGAATTTTTTGGAGGGGTTTTTTGGTTTTTTTGGAGGTATTGGGGTTTGAACTCAGGTTCTCGTACTTGCTAGGATGGGCTCTGCCACGTAAGCCACTCCATCAGCCCAATGTATTTGTTTATTTTTGATCAGTGAGTATATAAAAACTCAAGAACCAATAGCTTTTAGATTTTGATATGCATCAATACACATCAGCTATTGGAATAGTTAAATGTTGGATTATTACTCCAGATTTTCTTCTGCTGATGTTACTTTGCTCATAAACTATTCTTTTTTTTTTTTTTGGCCTGGGGGTGGAACCCACGGTCTTAAATATGCTAAGCATATGCTCTACCACTGAGCAATTAGATTAAGATTTAACATAGGTTTCCCACAGAGCTAGACAATTCGTTACTAAAGAGTATTGATACGTCTGTGCTTTTAAAAGTTTTTTGTGTGGTTTAACGTCATCAGATATGGCATTCAGATCTACAGTAATGGACTGCATTGCTCCAGACATACAAGTAATACAGATGTCTGGTGGTGAAATACATGGCATGAGCTTTAGTCTAATTAGTCCAAGTTATCCTGTAACCTAATTAAAAATTAAGGTCAGGCAATTACTACATCTCAGTGGATGCCTTTTAGAGGAAAAGGCACATATAACAGAAGAAACTGAAGTTTCAAAGACAGATGTCCTGGAAACACTGAGGTTGGAGAATTGGTTCTTCAGTATTTAAAATGGAAACATTTCACTGAAATGGAAGAGCCTATTTTGATAGGGACAATTGATCCCAGGACTCAGGAGACAGAGGCAGGAGAATTGCAAGTTCAAGGCCAACCTGGGCTATATAGCAATACCCTGTCTCAAAAAAAAAATTTTTTTTTTCAGTCTTCATGTCAACATAGGCTCTTGACATGACATTCTTTGAACTTTAGTTATAGGTATAGTGACATCCTCTTAGCTCACAGTCACAGAACAGTGAACCTGCTACCTCACATTTTTTTTTGCTTCATTTTTTTTTTTGCTACCTCAGTTTAATTTGGGGTTTATGGGTGTGGGGTTTTATCCCTTTAATTTCTAACATAATCTTCTGTTCTCCAGAGAGTTCAAAATAAAGGCTAAAAAAAATGTGAATGAACACGAATGAAATATTGATAAGTTTGTGGGCATTTCTCCCCAAAGCTTTCACTATTGATTCTTTTTTCTTTTTCTAAAAGCGACATAGCTTGACATAATTAGATAGTGATTTATTGGCTGCCTAATGTTGAAGTTTAGAAACCATTTCTGAGCTTGAATCGTTCAATAGATATGGAAACTGGTTAGCAATGAGACAGTTCAGCTAGAATTGCTGCTGTGTCCCAACTTGTTCTTCAAGCATGCAAAATTAATGTTTTTACCAGATGCTCTCCATCAGTTGTCTCAGTTCTAGCTGTGCATTGTATTAAGTCACCCAAGGAGTTTTTAAAATGCTGACATGTAGGCCATTCTCCCTCATCTCCTTCCCCCGTAAGACTGGACTTACTTCTTAACGCCCTGGTGTTACACCTGGTCACAGGTTCCTCAGATGATTCTAACTACACGTTAGTCAGGGTTGAGAAACACTGTCCCTTTATATTCTAATGTCCCTTCCACTGAAGCTCGTGTTCGTCACGTGCAAAATGGACAGGAAGGTACGATGTTAGAAACGACCTTCCACATTCAATTTCTAAGACTGGAAGGAGCACTCTACAGCCCTTGAGACCAGTTCTGGGCAAAATTTCCATGGTTCCCTTTATGCTTACAGGAAAAGGTTCCTGGTTGTGTAAACACAGCCATGCTGGGAGAGTTATCTCTGTGCTAGAACTAAATAGACTCATCTGGAATCACTCCCAAATTTTCTCCCACTTCCTAGAATTCCAGTTCTACAAATGCAATGGGTGAAGAAATGTGATTTACACCCATCACAGCTTACCATCTTGGTAGCTCTACTTCTTCTCTTACCCCAACCAGTCTGCCTGTGAAAGGAATTTACAACTTGGGTAAATAAAAGCAAACTTGAATAAAATAAGAAATTCTGGTCTTCTGGGGTTTTTCTGTTGTTTTTAACAGATGCTGGGACTGGCCCAAGGATGTTTTGACTACACCATTCCATATACTAAAGAAAGGATACAATTTGGCAAAAGAGTATTTGATTTTCAGGTATGTAATTAAACTCTTTGTACTCACCTGGTTGCTCCTGGCAATGAAGATGTGTGGAAAAGTCATGAAGGGAATCTCTTGGGCGGATTTTAATGGGAGGGGGCAGAGGAGGAGGAACAGGGGTCAGAGAATGCACTGGTGAATCTCTTGGTCTTTCTCAAGAGCAGAACCATGGTCCTTGTGGCCCACTGGGGTGTATTCAGGATGTCTTGGCAAGTGCTATACAGCTGTCTCCTCACAGCTTGCTTCATAGGTCTACCGTTATAGGGTCTGAAGTCAGACTTCCTGGGTCCAAATCCTAGATCTTCCTTTTACAGGTTGAGTATCACATTATCTGAAATGTTTGGAACCAGAAATGTTTCAAATTTCAGATGTTTTCAGATTTGGGGATATTTTCATAAACATAATGACATGTCTTGGGAATGCAATGCAAATCCAAACATGAAGTTCATAAATGTTTCCTCCTGAAACAGCTCGGCTTCTTTCATTTTAGATTGCAGATTTTAAAGTATTTAAAAGAAACTAAGATGAATTTCCCTTGAAGCCTATGAGTCTGTTAAGTGTTATATACCCTGGTAGGACTTTAGAGATAAGCTGCGTTTTGGAAATCTTAATTCTCTAACTTGGGCCTGAATGTTACAGGGGCTCCAACACCAAGTGGCACAGGTGGCCACCCAGCTGGAAGCTGCAAGATTACTAACGTACAATGCTGCTAGGCTCGTAGTAGCTGGAAAGCCATTCATAAAAGAAGCAGCTATGGCCAAATACTATGCATCAGAGGTAAGAAAAAGCAAAGTAATTCAGCCTTCACTTTTTTTTAAAGATATATGCTTATTAACCTTTTCACTTAGGAGCATTGATTGAACTTAGAATGTTTTTCGAGTAAGATAACATGAACTTTCTACTTCTTACAGTAGAAAAGTGAGAAAGTAAAGCTACCATAGGAAAATGTTTTAATTCTGTGGGATCTGGATGTTTTCATGAACAGCCCAGTTCACACAGACCACCACTGACAAATCCATACAGGAGCCTCCTCTGAGCGATGGCTCAGATCCATGGTGCCAAGTTGGCAAAGATATGCTGTGGAGATATGTTAATAGGATCAAGTGAGATTTAAAACACCACGAAAAATTGTTTACATCTTAAATGTTTTTGCTCATACATACACATTCTCTATTTCACACTTTACCCAAATCATTGGACAGCTGTTTCCCAGCCTTGGCAGTATATCTAACTCATTCTGTGACTTTAATGGGACTCATTTTATCTCTTTAAGTACTCATTTAATCTCAATAGTGTCCTGCCTCAACTTCCCAAACTAATATATCCAACTTCTGCTTGACCTGTCTACACAGTGCCCCAGTGGGAAGAAACCTGAGAGTCATCTTGACACCCCACCTTTCTTTCATCCCCCCATATTGAATCCATTTACCCCTGAAAGACTTCTTAAATTTACATGTTTCTGTGTCTCCTCTCTCTACTGCCCCCCACCACCTATCCACTGAAGCTGCATCATTCCTTGACCAAACTACTGCAATCACCCAACTGCTCTTATGGTTCCTGTTTGTATCTTCAGGCCAGTCTTTGGCCCTCTCTTTTCAGTGACTACGAGGTCACTTTGAACCCTTCAGTGGCTTCTCATAACAAATGGAACAATATTTGTACTTGTTTCGTGTCACTGCTATAGCAAGCAAATTACCAAAAATTTAGTGACCTAAAAGCTGCAATTTTAGCTCCCACTTCTAGACGTCAGAATCTGAAATGGGTCTCACAGGGATCAGACGAAAGTGTCAACAGAGCAGCCTTTCTGGAGGCTCCTGGGAGAATCCTGGTCCAGCTTCTAGAGGCTGCTTGTGTTTTTGGCTTGTAGCCCATCCATCCATCTTCATAGCCAATAACGTACCATGTCTGAATCTCTATGTGGCTGTACTTCGACTTGCTGTGTTCACATTGCCTTTAATGACTAACTCTCTACATCCCTCTGTCCGTTATAGTGAACTGTTGTGATTACACTGGACCAACCCTGATAATCTAGGACAGTCCTCTTCTCAAGGTCCTTACTTAGTCACAGTTGCAAAGACCCTGTTCCCATGTAAGATAGCATATTCAGTTTCTGGGGATTAGGCTATGGACATCCTTGAGGGACAATTATAATACTCAAACCACTCAGCATCCTCCAAGGCCAGCCTGCCCTCCATTCTCTTCTTGCCACTCACCCTGACCCTAGCCCATGGCTGTCTCCAGGGTGCCTGAGGCTGATGGGCTCCTTCTCCCCATGGGGTCTTTATACATGTTGTTCCTCAAATAGGCACCATCTAAATCCCAGCAGCTTTCCTAGCAAGCTCTTCTGTTGCCCTGTGCAGTTTGTGAGTTTCTTCAGTGCTTATTGGTTTGATGTTTGTCTCTTTTTAAAAAATGTTATCTTATTTTTGAGTTATCATATATTAACAAAACGATGGGATTTCATTGTGATAATTCCATACATGTTACAGCATACCTTGAGCAAGTTCACCAGCTCCATTATTGTATTTTCTTTCTCCCCTCCCTCTTCCCTCCTTTTTCAAACAGTGTTTGATAGGTTTCATTATACTGTCTTAATATGTATATATGCAGCATACTTCTATCCTCTTCACCCCTCATATCCTTTCTTCTCACCCTCTCCCTCTGCTGACCCATGCCCAATGTCTGTCTCTAAATGACCAGCAGGACCAAAGGGGCAGTGGTTACCCATCCCCCATCAGAGGATGCAATGTAAAGAACACGCTCAATAAATATTTGCTAATAAATGATAACCTGTCAGTAAGAACGTGAGTGTGAATTACACTCTGATTTTCTTAAGAAAAGAGGAATTCTGTGAATTACTTGGATATTTTACAGAAATGGTGTGGAGAATGGGATTAAGAAGACAATACTGATTTATGAAATAACTTCAGTCATTCCAATTGCCAGTAACAGTTGCTAAAAACAGCACACAAAAGTGTTTGTGGTGCACAAGCGTGTGGCGTCCACGTGTAATTTTCAGCTTGCTTTTGGTAGATTGCAGGGCTAACAACAAGTAAATGCATTGAATGGATGGGAGGAGTAGGCTACACTAAGGATTACCCTGTGGAAAAATTCTTCCGAGATGCGAAGATTGGTAAGTAGATTTTTTACGTTTTATTTTATTTGCCACTGTAGGTGTTTGGGCTATTGTATTTGTCGATTTTATATTCCTGGTACTAGGCAAAGGCAATTTTAATCTCTTCAGTACATGTTTATTGACTCTTCTTGTGGCTGGACTTTTTGCCTATCTCTTCCTACCAGAAAAAAAGTGGATTTATATTTTTAAAAACATCAAATTGCCTTTAAAAATGCCCCTACAGGCCTTTTAGTTAAACTGCAATACAATCTACTGTCTTAATTTTTCTTTTACTAAAATTGTTAAGATTTCTGATTAGTATAGTTTGATGCTGTTCTTTGAAGTATTGTTCTAATTTCAGAAGCTAAGTGCCTAATCAAGCCTGAGTGGTCCAGTGCTCTACTCCCAGACAGGAAACTAAACACAAATAGCTCCCAAAGCTGCCTGATCTGACTTATGCATTGCTGGCTTAGGAAGCAAAATCTTCAGCTGTTCAAACCTGATTCTGGACACATGTAAACCAAATGGGAAATTGTCATCTCTTAGTCAAAATTACTTTGCCCAGTAGTTGCATGGTTTGGGACACTGAACAGCATTATAAGTAGCGGTTTTATAGCAAATGCAGAAGTCATGACTATAGAGCTTATTTCTTGTGTGACTCTTAACTGTGGGCCCACTGCTGATTGTTCTTTTTTCTCTCTCTCATTTAAGGCACCATATATGAAGGAGCTTCTAATATCCAGCTGAACACCATTGCAAAGCACATCGATGCAGAATACTGACACCGTAGGATTGACCCCCTTCCTCATGTCACCCATGTGCCATTTTGGACATTGTGCCTTTCTGGGCAGTGAGCTTCCACTGCATTGCAGCATTTCATTAAAGCCTTTTCTTGCGTCCTGATCCTTCAGCTTGGTATTTTCTCTTTCCAGTCAGCTTTGCTTAAGCACAGAGATCATGTCTAAAATTTGGAAGAAATATGCCCACATTTTCTCCAAAACTGTTGTTGTGGAGACTTGTTCATATTTGTAAACTTTATAATCCTAGTGTCAGCATTTGGGAAAATGAAGACATTTGAAATAGTACTTATAGAAGTATTTTATATTCCTACTGAATCTTTGTATTGTAGCATGTGAGAAACATTTGTTACCCTAGGCAGTTTTTATAGATTCAGTTGTAAGTTGCTAAACAGCATAGAAACTGATAAAAAAAATATATATATATCTGGAAAAAATCTTAAACTTCTAGTTCTAAATATCTGAGAATGGGAAGAAAATAAAGATATGACTTTGTAGGTCATATAATTAGCTGACACATACACACATTGTTTTAACTAAGTAAAGCAGTGTAATAAGGTACTATAATTGACCTGTGTGAAAGATGCATTTCATTATGATGCTCACTGGTCATTTTAAAAACATCTGTCTTGCTAAAGAGAGTTGAAACTTTATAGTTTTTGACTATAAAGTTCAAATAATTTGGTTTAATAATCAGAAGATATTAACATTATAGTACTCATTCTATCATGCACTATTTTCCAGTCATACAGTTTTCTTTCTGTGTTTTAATTGAATACTTTTTTCTCAAACTTGGTTATTGGGTTTTATCTAACATATAGTAATTAATCAGGAAATTGGGTTTTGGTTCAGTGATCCTCAAGAGAAAAACATCTTGTGCCCGTAATGAAGTATATCAAAATTTCATAAGGAATGGGGGTGTAGAAGGAGACTGTAGAATCTGAAAAAGCATATTCAATATTAATTGAATATTTGGGAATGCAGAAATCTACATTTTACAATATAAGTGATAGGTAAAGCCCAATAAATTCAAAGCTGATGATACTATTCTTCAGTGCTTGGGATTCTCAGTCAGGAGAATAGACCCCTCTGGGTGCAGATGCCGAGTCCCCAAACAAGAAGCTGGACAGCAGACAAGTGAGAGTTTCATGCTTCCTAAAAAAGAGTATGAGTCAGACATGAAAAAGTTCCCAGGCTCACGCAGTTGCTGACAATAATCATTACTGTTAAATGGGAAGCATTTCAGTGTTTTAATGAAAGATGATGTTTATTAAGAAAACTTGACATTTTCAAAGGAATTTCACTTTACACATTCATGAATTTGATTAATTTCTCTAATGCAAATCATAGTTAAATATTCAAAATTGTGTAAATACAGTTGAGGTAGGTATCACAAATAAGATGATGAGACCCCCTTAATTAGTGTCAGAACAGAAAGACAGAGTAACCTGATTTAAAAAGCAGGAGGTAGATGAAATGCCCTAGAGTGGGCTTCAACATATTTAATTTCTGTGATTATGTGCGAGGAGTGCACTTTACAGAGAATGGAGTAGAAGCCAACAATAATAAACAGAATCCTAACTTCTGTAGAATTAGAAACAAGAACGTATGATAAACATCATGTTACAATTCCTAGCATATACATCTGGACATTGTATATTTAGTATTGATAAAGTTCTAATTCTGTCTCTTTATTTTGTTCATGCTCACAAAGAACAGTTAAATTAATTATTATTGTAGTTAATATATGCACCTGCCTTCTTGTGTTGGTGAATCATTGTGTTGTTTTACTAAAGAGAATGTTGTGGATTTTTCATGTAGTTCCTATATCATAGCTTTCCTTCTGACAATCATGACTTTGGGGTCTATCCTGAAACTATTTTTCTTTTTTTTTTTTTTTGGTAGTCCTGGGGTTTGAACTTGGCACTTGCCTAGCAAGTGCTGTACCACTTGAGCCATGCCCCCAGCCCTTGAAACTATCTTGAGTTTGTGCCTAGTAGAGAACGAGTTGTTCACCTCCTGAAGCTTGTCGTTATTTTTTGATTTGAGGGTTGGACTGACATGAAGCTCAAAAAAGAAAGAACTGCCAGATTTGTGTGGGTGGAGCTAGAGACTTCATTTTATAACACAAAAATGAATCACTGTGAAGGACTTCAGGATCATGGAAAGTTAAACCTGGAAAGACCTTGGAGAACTATCTAGCCAATTACCTTTAAAAGTAAAGGATTCATAGCCTCGGTTACCTTCCCAAGATCATCTATCCAGAGACAAAAACAAGAATTCAGATAAACTGACTCCCAATTCATTGTTCTTATTATTAAACACTGAATTAACAGATTTCAGATTCCATCCTTTTTCTGTTTTGTTGATTTATTTTGGGTTTCACTGATAATAGAGTGAGCATTTCAGAAGTGTTATGATTGATCAGTGTCAGCACCTACATAAAGTCACTTGCCAAAAGCACTGGACTTAGCAGGCTCTTGAAGGCTGTAACTGGGATGTCAAGTGTAAAGATTATTGTGTGTGATCATTTGCCATCATTGTTGTGCTGCATTTTACTATGTGCACTGGTTATATCCTGCTGGTGTATTTATGCTGATCTGTCATAAAGTGAAAGTTTTATTTTAATGGAGTATATCTGACTGTATTTATTGTTACAAAATCAATATCCTATGGAGAATAAAAATATAAAGCACTAAATTAGCTGGAAACTTTTGCTACTCTAATAAAGCAAAATTGTTTGTTACACATACAGATGAAGAAATTAATGTAATTTTCCTGCAAGATAGACATGACACCTTTGTTTACCAAGCCAATAGCTCATCTCTAATATAAGACAATTTTGTTTGTTTTCAGAGAAGAGGCCTTATAATGTAGACCAAGTTTAAATTCGTGATGCTAAGAAATATTTTTCCAGAGAACTCTTAATTTTTTTCATGGCAATATAAGCAGCTCTTGAGTAGAGAGGTCGCCTCTTTTGAGCACATCCTCCCAGCACAGATACTGTCGTTCTGATGATTATACCTGTGCATTATAGCATTACTTTAGGAAGTCTTCCATTAGTTCACTCTTCACTCAGTGATACACTACAATCTAAAGCTTATCTGTTCCCCATTATTTCCTACATTATTTTAGAAATCTAGATATTAGTCCATTTTTTTCTTTTGTCATCATGTTTCAGTGGTTCTTACATCCAAGATACAATGGGATCTGAGCTATTATTACAAAGGTGAGCAATAACAGCTCCTTGTTTAAATATATACCCATTCCAGTGCTGTTTTTCTCTTTTCATTAGTATGCTCATACAAAAATATTGAGTACAAATCAACTAAGGTCAACCCTACACAGAAGTAGTTGTTTACATCTGTTAGAGTGATAGCAAGCACTAACACCTCTTGAGCTTGACCATGTGCCAGCCATTATTCTAACTTGTGACACATAACTGACTTACAATAGCCTATGAGGTAGGTGTTCCTGTATTCCATTTCCAGGCAAGGAGACTGGGGCAGAGAAAGGTTAAACAAAAAGCATATTGGCACATGGCGGGAATGGGATTCAAATTCAAGCAGTCTGGCTAATGCCCTACTTTCATCCTTTGGGACTTTAAAGCTTGCTCACCTTCAGGAGCCTCCCAATAAAGTACCACTGCCAACTAGCCTTTATTAGGTAGTAATTCAGGGATGAGAACAGGTCCTGCAAGACAGATAAATAGATGTGATGAGAACAAGTATATTTTCGTAGAAAGAATGGGGGAGCAGCAGGTGTAGCTCAGTGGGAGAATGCTTGCCTAATATGTGCAAGACCCTAGATTCCATCCAAAAAAAGATAGGAAGAAGGAAGGGTGGGAGAGGGACTAGGGAAATGGGTGATAAAAAGATGGAGTAGGAGCCTGTACTGAAAAGGGAACTAAGGAAATGTCCAAAGTGTCATCTCTAGTTTTACCTAGGACCTGATTGATGCCATGTTTATGCTTGATCTGAGGGGGGAAAAAACTTTTTAAGAAAATAATAAGCTACCCTGGGGTGTGAAGAATGACAAGAGAACATGGTAAAAACTGAAGTAGTGACTACAAAATCATGATAGGTCTGGGGATGTAGCTCAGTGGCAGAGCACTTGTTTGACATGCATGAAGCTGTGGGTTTGGTCCCCAGCACCACAGAAAAAGAAAAAATCATGATAAGCAGAAAAAGGAAATCAGGTGGGAATATAGCTATATGTAGTAGTAGTTATAGGTGCAAATGAGTTAAACCTACCTATTAAAAAGTAAAAGGTATTCAGATGAGGCAAAAGAAAATGAAAAATTTAAATCCCAGCTACATCAAGTTAGAAACACCTAAAACAAAACAGCAGAGGAAAGTTGAAAGAGATGGAAAAAGACCATATAAAAGCTGCAAAAATGAAAACAGTAGCAATGTTAATACCTAGCAGAACCAAATTAAAAATAATTCTAAAGGCTATCTCATAAAGGAAGAATTCACCAAGAAGTTCCAATAGTCATGAACCTCGTGTTCTTAACAATCTAACCAGGAACTATAGAGGGCAAAACAAATAGAAATACATTTGAAAAAATTTGACCAAGCCATAGTCATGTTTATTGACTTAGAAGTCAGCAAGTCAGATTTTAAAAAAAGGTAAGAGATGAGGAGGATTTGGATAGCACAATTAACAAGGTTGGTATGTGGAGAAAGAACTTTTTGCTTCTTTTCAAATGCAAATGAATCATCAGAATTTTGTTCAAAGGAAGCTTCTAGAAATTCCAAAATGACAAAATTTTTTAGGTTTTTGCAATATACAATGATAAGTAAATAAATAGCAAAATATATTCCTAGCTTTGAGGAGGCTGATGCAGAAGGATCACGAGTTGGAAGCTGGCCTGGGTTACTACACTTGATCTTAGTCAAAAGGCCAAGAAGCCATACCCTGTGTTACATAACAAAACTCTGTGTCAGAAGATATTACAAAGCTAATTGTGACTTTAAATTACTTGAATTAATTACAAAATGAAAATATAAATTACAAATATTCACTGGGTGCTGGTGGCTCATGCCTGTAAACCTAGCTACTTGGGAGGCTGAGATTGGGAGAATTACAGTTTGAGGCCAGGCCCAGCAAATAGTTGGAGAGATCCCATCTCCAAAATAACCAGAGCAAAATGGACTTGGAGGTGTGGCTCAAGGAGTAGAGTGCTGGCTTTGCAAGCATGAAGCCCTGAGTTTAAATCCCAGTCCCATCAACAAAAATTACAAATAATCAACAAGGATATGACAAGCCCAGCTCTGTTGCTTCTAGGATAATGTATAAGCAGGCATGTTAGGGACATCAGGACAGCATGGTGTATAGGACAAGCTGAATATCCCTTATCCAAAATGTTTCAGATTTCAGGTTTTCACAAATTGTGGAATGTTTGCTTTTTCATAATGAGATATCTCAGGGATGGGATCCAAGTCTAAACACAACATTAATTTGCACTTCAGATACACCTCATAGAAATTTCATACAACACTTTTAGAATGCCTGTGTTTGACTTTAACCTGTCACATGAAGTCAGGTGTGGAATTTTCCACTTGTAGCGCCATGTCAGCACTCAGAAACCTTTAGATTTTGGAGCTTTTTGGATTTCACATTTTCAAACTAGGGATGCTCAACCCTGTAGTGAAAAATTAGAAATGGCTAAGTAGGAGAATAAATAAATTAAACATGGAAACAGAGACTGGCAATCCTGTTAGCTGTTTAAAGGAATTAGATAGTATCACGAATGGAGGGAAACCATCAATAAGAGAGTGCTTATGCCAAACAGTACGAAGCTTTTATTTCTGTGTGTACAAGCATGTACTGTATATAAATTCTCAGAAAAAAACAGAAACTAATGTCATCACACTGATGCCTGCACTTAATTTGGGGGCCTGCACTGGGACTAGAGAGTCACTGGTATCATCCATACCATTTGAGTTTTTATCATGTGAGTGTATTTTTTTTTTTTTTGGTACTGGGGCTTGAACTCAGGGCCTTCCCCTGGAGCCACTTCACCAGCCCTTTTTTGTGATGGGTATTTTCAAGATAGGGTCTCAAGAACTATTTGCCTGGATTGGCTTTGAGCCTTGATCCTCCTGATCTCTGCCTCCCGAGTAGCTGGGATTACAGGTGTGAGCCACCAGCGCCCAGCAGAAGTGTATTCTTATATTATTTGTGTAATTGGAGATAAAGGAAATTAAAATTACCTGTAGGGTTCCTGAAATCTATCATTTTTGTGCATGATTTTTTCTTTGGTCATTCTGCAGCCTCAGTTCAGCCTCACAGGAGACTTGCCCCTGGCATAGGATGGTGGAAAAGGGCCAAAACCTGATCCCTGGAAGGTGAGCGAATGGTCCTGTCCAGGTGTAACTGCCTGTCCTGCTCAAAGCAACATGTGTCTTGCTTTGCTCAGCTGGACTTTCCCAGGAGGGCTTCTTGGGCACAGACTGCACTGACCTTGGACTTAGGGTATTGCCTTTAGTTGTAATTTGACCTGATGTTATGTGATTTGACCTATTATTTTAATGTAATATTTCCTTGAATCTGAAGTATTTGTTTCAAGGGAAAAAAGAAAGGAAAATCAAAATTCTACTCCATTCAAAGGACCCAAGTTAAATTGGGTGGATAAGGTATATCCCAGAGGCCACATCCAACTCACTGCTTATTTGTGTTATGGATTGCAAGCTAAGATTGTTTTGTGTGTTTTAAATGGTGAAAAATAGGTGCAGAATAGCCTCAATTTTGCATATTGCTCACAAAGCCTAAAATATTTACCATCTGGCTCTTCAGGGAAAAGTTGGCCAACTCCTCATTAAATAATTGCCTCTAATTAGGAAATTGCCTAGTCCAACTGTCTGGGTGTCATAAAGGGGGTGGGGAGCAGCAGGGGAGGGAAGGAAAAGAACACTCCCCTAGGAACTTGGGCTATATTCACTCTTGATTTCATTTGTAGCCTCTCTAGCTCTCTCTTTACCTCTACAAATTTGCTCCTGCTACGTCTACCCTTAAGAATTAAATTGCCCGTGAGCCACTGTTCAACGATGCAGAAAGGATGGACACTTTCACCTCATCCATAGCAACTCCTCATCCTCGTAGCTCGCTCCTTAATCCCTGGGTAACTCGTGATCACTTTTGTCACTGGATTTAAACAGTGTTCTCAAAAGTCACCTTTTTGCCCTAATTCGTGGCCAGTTCCATGGGTCCCAACTTCTGTGTTTTTAGACACCTGTCCTATTCCTAAGCTTCTTTGCTCTGTAACAATGCAGCTCCTCTTTTCACTGACTCTTCTCTGGTTTCCTTTCCCTTAAGTGGCAGTCTTACCATGATTCTGCCATTGCACCTCTTCTGTTCTCAAACTACACTGCTCCTGAGAAGTCCAGACTCAAGCAGTGTTCCCAGAGTTCCCTGGTGGTTGGTATAGTGTTATTCTCAGGCCTCTCCCAGCAGGATGCCTGATGGGCTTTGGAAATGTGTCTGAAGTGCAGGAGAAGAATTGGGGTTGAAGATCTGGGAGTCTCACTGGATTACTAATGACATAAAGTTACATGAAGTCCCAGGAAGAGTGGATGAATTGTGAAAAGCTCCTGTCTGGATCTGTGAGTCCCATGGTTGAGCCTAAGCCTAAGAATCTGCCTATGTAAGTCATACCCTTAA